AGCAGCTCGGGGTTGGTAACTTATATAAAAGAAGATGAGGGAGAATAGGTTTAAGCATCTTTGTGCTTGGGGCAATGTCGAGCTTGAGTCTCGAGTTTTAATCGAGCTCTTAAATTTTTTTTGAGTTCGAGCCTTTTCGAGTTCGAGTCGAGTTTCCATATTATATTTTGAGTTCGAGTCGAGATTGATAATTTTAAGCTCGCGAGTTTTTGAGTCGAGTTGAGCTGACTTTGAAAGTTTTCGAGTCGAGCTTAGCAATACTCGAGCTTGACTCGGCTCATTAACACCCCTAGGTAGGGCCTCCAATGTTTATGTTTGTGTTCATTTATGTTCGTGTTCGTTTATGTTTGTGTTCGTTTATGTTCGTTTATTTATTAAATGAACGAATATGAACAAGTTATATTCCTTAATAAACGAACATGAACAAAAAAAAATTGTTCGTTTATGTTCGTGTTCGTTTATTTATTAAATGAACGAACATGAACATACCTCCGTTCGTGTGCGTTCGGTTTGTTTACAGGCCTAGTTTATAGCGTTGATAATGAAGTGGAATGGTATTTGCTTTAAAACTACATTTAGCATAATGCGTAAGACATTTCTTTTACTAATCAATTGAAACATCAATTCAAGTTGAAAAGTAAACCTAGTGAAGTTCAAAATCATTTTCTTTTTTCCCCTTGTATTAAAAATCACATTGGCTTGGGTGAGTTACACAGTCCTGGATTCCTAATGCACCACAGTGGTTGTGTTGGCTCAGCCTTCACCCCTCTGCTCAGCCTTCACCCCTCTGCTTACCATCCTATACCTCCACTCGTTCATCCTATCAGTTGCCTCGGCAGACCTCTTTCTCCCAGCGCGGTTCGCCGACCACAATGTCTCCGCTATTGCCAATGTCCTTGGCCATAACCTTCCGTCCAAAACAGTAGGATCGGCTTGTTCCGACCACAATGCCACCTCTCTTCACTAAATTTGCCATGCTTTAACTAGTTTGCCATGCTTTAATCGGATCACAGAAAGACTTTCCATCTTTAGGGTCGCGTCCCCGTTGTTTGAGTATCATATAGGCTATCATTCCCCAGAAAATCTCCGTGGCCACACTCCAAATAACAGAATTCTGAAGACGATACGATCCTATGATACCCGGCTCGAACGATCTTTTTGGTGTTGTTCGAGCCGTTGTTCCATGTCTGTAAGATGGTATGCTCTCTTGGAAGAAATTATGAGGAGTCCACTTTCACAACATCATCTAATATAACATCCTCCCAATAGACCACGGTACGATTGAGGGATAAAATGTAAGGCAAAGCACAGTTGATAAATTAGAGGAACTGGCTGAGGGTTCCACCATTTGAAAGGAAAGATTGAACGGTTGGATCAGCTTTCCAACATCCAGGAGCTGGCTGAGAGTTCCAAGCCAAACTGAACAATCTTAGCCACATCCAAGGGAGAATATATCATTTTAGGACCATAGGACCCCTTGGCAGCGAGCTTCGCCTCTGAAGGCACCATTAGAGGAAACGATTGTGAATCGGTAACATGCCAATGGAATACATTAAGCTTGTTAGCACAAGTTGCCTCAATAGTCCTAAATATGTCTTCCGCCTCATAATAATTCCTTGACGTATCCAACATGAGTCCCCTGTGTGAAAACAAGGGAGCATCCCATATGTACAAGCCGACGGGGATAGCCAAAGGATCGCCCCATACCAACTGCGAAAACGTCTCCAAACCCCTCGTTGCACCCCATGCCGTCTTGGCTGTCAAATAGGCTCTTTCTCCTACTTCGGAAATGGAGAGGGAGTAGGTCTCATTGACCCCATGTTGGAGGGGCGCAACGAGATCGGTTATATCAATGGAAAGAGTTTGCAAAGGAGGGGCCGAGGCGGAAACGTTGACCGAAGGGGTGATGAAGGGACGGTAGTGCTCGGTCCGGACGAGGCCGAGGTAGAGGTTGGCGGCTGGTGCAAGGTGTTGATGGTAAAGAGAATCAATGGTGAAGTTTGAAGAAAGGAATCTGGCTAGTGGTTTTGGCCTAAACCAAGGCTTTGGCCATGAAACCAGCCTTGGTTTAGGCCAAACATTGACTGCAGTTTTCAGGGATAAGGTGGGGGGTGGAAAAATCAATGTTAGTCAGATTATGATGGCAAATTTTGAGCTACAAATTCTCATTTCAATTGCTTTTTTTTTTAAGCTTGGTGGTTGAGAATTACAAATTTTGCTTGCAAATCAGTCTTCTTTTTAGCACCGTTTGGAGTTTTGTATTTGACTTGTCCGATGCTAAAGACTTTCACTTTTCTATTGTCTTTGTGTGATATGGAAAAGTTTGTAAGCAAAGCTCTAGCCATTATCAAGCAAACTAAGCTCACTGATTTTGAAATCAAGGAAAACCCTGTTGTATTCAATGACAATTTAAGGCATGAACGAATCCCATACAACTTTAGAAGTTTCGAGTTTAAACATGAAGTTTGTAAAAATATTTGAATAGTTATTATTAAATGATTAAGAATCTTTCGAACCTATACTGTTTTGTAAAAATCTCGGATTCGTTAAGCCTTTATCGATTTGATTTGCTTTCATTATTTACAGATTTTTGAAACTTTTTGAAGAAAAAAAATATTATTGAATTGAGTTGAGTTGCTGAGCTTTGAGAGTACATGCCGGCTTTGCCAATTGTCAATGATGAATAGAATCCTATGGCCGGCACTGCCAATTTTTGTTTTATAAACTCAAGTAAATGCACAACCCTATCCTAAACACCAAAGAATCTAATTCAGCTTTTACATATTTTGTTTCCACTTTGTCGCATTTATATGTATGGTATAATTTAAGTCAACCTTGTTTCATGCATTCTCATCAACAATTAATTAATTGTATCAAGCATCTCAAATCATGACTCTTCCTTTAACATTTAAGCTCCTTCAATTTTGTCTCTAAACTATTAAATTGATCTCAAATCGTTTCACTTTCATCTCAGACGATCAATATATGTTAATCACGTCTTCTGTTGATAAAAATCATTGTAAAAATTGTTAATTGCCATGTAAATACGGATATATATTATGTAATAATATGATGTAATATAAACGGTAATCGATATTAAGTTTAAATAAAATAATAATTTAACTTTGAAACATAGAAAGAATTATAAATAAATTGAGTGAACATAAATAAAAACCAAAAAACTTTTCAATTTCATTCTAGTTAATGATTTCGGGGGGACATGGTACAACGTTAATTATTATGTGTCACGTCATAATATTATATAATACACATCAGTGTTTACATGGTAGTTAAAATTTATTAAACAACTTTATTAACAAGGGACATGATTAGTATATTGATAGTTTGAGATGAAATTAAAACATTCAAGACAATGAGAATCAAATTATAATGAGAGTCATAGTTTTGAGTATAAGATTAGAATGTTCAAAAGTTTGAGTACCAATTTTGAATGAGAGTCATAATTTAAAAATAGGGTAAACCAACTATTTAGTCATCCACTTATTACTTAGATTTTGTTTTGATCACCTAGTTTTTTTTTTCAAAATTCTACCTAGCGTTACGTTTTGGTCACCCATCATTAAAAAATTAACAATGATGTTAATGTGTCACTATAAGTTAATGTCATGTCAACATTGAAAAATAACTAATAAAAATCATGTCAGTGTCACAATTAATTTTTTAACGGTGAGTGACCAGAACAAAACTAAAACATAACGTTAGGTATGCTTTTGGAAAATATTAATAATTGGGTGACTAAAACAAAACCCAAGTAATAGGTGAGTTGTCAAATGGATAGTTTACCCTTAAAATATGTAGTATAATTAACTCATAATTGAAAATGGAAGGGACAGACAAGAATTAACTCTATTTTCAATGTTACACAAAAAACTATAGATTAATCTTATGCAAAAGTTGGCTGAATAAAAGGGACCTTAACAGTTAACACCTTCCTTCTACTTTAAAAATCATTCTTTAGGTGTATGATGCAGACAAGTCGGATAGCAATGGATATTTAAGCTGTGGGCATTCATCTGGCAACACCAGAGGAGATCTTGACAAAAACATATTGGGAGTTAATTGAAGCTTTTAAAAATGTTGAGACTTAATGAGAATTTCCAAAAAGAAATTAGGGGTCTAATTAAAAGTTTCGAAATTTTTAGATTAAATAAGAATTTTAAAATTTCAGGGGAACCAATTAAAATATTCAAAAACTTTAGGATTTAAAAAAAAAATTGGAGTGTTTAATCAAAAGTTTAAAAAATGTAAAAGGTTCTAAAACAGATTTTCTAAATTATTGGAGGGCCTTGTCGCCGTTATCGTCCGCTTGTGCTACAACTTGGTCAATCTTCTTTGGGAAATTCATCGATTCATATTAGAGCTAGATTATTTGAGTTTAATTTAATTAAAGTTCCACTAATATTTTAAATAAAATTAGATTTTAATTTGATTCGAAGATCTCATGAATAGTTTAAAATTTAATATATTATTTTTAATTTTTAAAATTTAAATTATTAATAATATTAATGTTTATATGTTTTTTAAGAAAAATAGAATATAAGATTTTTATGAATTTAATATTTAAATTTGATTTCGAGTTTAAGTTTGAACTGAGCTCGAGTTTGAACTTCAATTGAGTTAAATCTAAAAATAGTTTAAATTCAATTTTTTTCAAATTCGAATTGAGCTTTAATTTTTAATTTTGAACTCAGTTCGAACTTTAAAATTTTAAAACCATGAACTTTCGAGTGTATTCAAGTTCAAATTTGAATTTTTTTATATTACTTAGAGCGCAACAATATTCGAGTTCGAGTAGATTATTATTCCTTTGAACAACAAAATTGGGATTTGATTTATGAGGCAGAAGAAAAAGATTTTGCAGAGGTTGGGCCAATTCATAATGTAAGTGAACGTCTTTTAGTTTTAAAATGTTGGGTCCGGCCCTCTTTTAGTTTTGAACCCTAAAAACCTGTAAAATACAAACAAATGAGGAACGAGCCACACTGTTCGTATGTAATGTAATGTTAAACTGAAATTGAAATTCAACGCAGTCTACTCCACTTCACTTTATCCTCCCTCTTCTCCATTCATTTCCTCTGTTTTCCGACGCCACTCAGCAAAGATTAATCGATCTAGAGAGCCTGTTCGTAGGCTCAACGCCGTATTCCTCACTAGAATCAGGTACTTCCCTTTTTTCAAAGATTATTGCTTGTTTCTTTTTTAACGAGTTGGAATTTTGTGTTGGTTTTTTGATAGATTCCGTCAGTTTCACGAGATGGCAACAGAGGGAGGCAAGAGCTTTGCAAGGAGAGACAAACTGCTTGAAATCGAGTCGAAGGTTAGAGTTTGGTGGGATGAGAAAGATGTTTTCAGGGCAGAACCCGGCGAGAAACCGCCTCAACCAGATGAAAAATTCTTTGGGAACTTTCCTTTTCCCTACATGAATGGTTTTTTGCATCTGGGTCATGCCTTTTCTCTTTCGAAACTCGAGTTTGCTGCTGCTTACCATAGATTAAGAGGTGCCAATGTTCTGTTGCCGTTTGCTTTTCACTGTACGGGTATGCCGATCAAGGCTTCCGCCGATAAACTTGCTAGAGAAATCCAAAAATACGGCGATCCACCGGTTTTTCCTCACGATTTCGTCGAAGAGGAACCTATTTCGAAAGAAGAATCTGACCCGAATGAAGGTGCCAATGTGGTGCCTGATAAGTTTAAAGGAAAAAAATCTAAAGCAGCCTCTAAGTCCAGTGGACAGATGTTTCAGTGGGAAATTATGAGGAGTTTTGGACTTTCGGATAGTGAGATATCCAAGTTTCAGAACCCACATGAGTGGCTGAAATTCTTTCCGCCGTTGGCTGTTGAAGACCTTAAGGCATTTGGCCTAGGATGTGATTGGAGAAGGTCGTTTGTGACGACGGACATGAATCTGTTTTTTCGATTCATTTGTTAAGTGGCAGATGAGGAAGTTGAAATCCATGGGTAAGATTGTTAAAGATATGAGGTATACTATATATTCTCCCTTGGACGGTCAGCCTTGTGCCGATCATGATAGGGCAACTGGTGAAGGAGTTCAGCCTCAAGAGTATACCATTATTAAAATGGAAGTGGTGCCACCTTTTCCTGCCAAAATGGGTGTTCTTGAAGGGAGAAATGTGTTCTTGGCTGCTGCAACATTGAGGCCTGAGACCATGTATGGGCAAACAAATTGCTGGGTATTGCCGGATGGAAAATATGGAGCCTTTGAAATAAATGACACTGAGGTATTTATTCTGACTGAGAGGGCAGCACTCAACCTTGCTTATCAGAAGCTCTCCCGTGTCCCCGAAAAGCCCACTTGCTTGGTTGAGCTGACTGGATATGATCTGATTGGTCTTGCTGTGAGATCTCCGCTCTCATTTAATGAGATCATATATGCTCTTCCAATGCTGACCATTCTAACAGACAAAGGTACCGGAATTGTCACCAGTGTTCCTAGTGATGCTCCTGATGATTATATGGCCTTGAATGATTTGAAAGCAAAACCTGCTTTTCGGGCAAAGTTTGGGGTGAAAGATGAGTGGGTGTTACCCTTTGAAATTGTTCCCATCATTGACATTCCTGAATTTGGAGACAGAGCTGCTGAGAAAGTTTGTCTGGATCTTAAAATCAAAAGTCAGAATGAGAAAGACAAGCTTGCCGAGGCAAAGAAGTTGGTGTACTTGAGAGGTTTTACTGAGGGAATCATGACTGTTGGAGAGTATGCTGGAAGAAAAGTCCAGGAAGCGAAGCCACTGATAAGGACCAAACTGATTGAGACGGGCCAAGCAATAATTTATAGTGAGCCTGAGAAAAAGGTCATGTCAAGGTCTGGCGATGAATGTGTTGTGGCTTTAACTGATCAGTGGTATATCACATATGGGGAACCAGAATGGAAAAAGTTGTCTGAGGAGTGCTTATCGAACATGAACCTATACTCGGATGAGACAAGGCATGGTTTTGAGCATACTTTAGGATGGCTGAACCAATGGGCTTGCTCGCGATCATTTGGCCTTGGGACTCGCATTCCTTGGGATGAAGAATTCCTTGTTGAGTCATTATCTGACTCCACCATTTACATGGCTTATTACACAGTTGCTCATTTCTTACAAAATGGGGACATGTATGGAAAAAGTGCTGATCTACTTAACCCTGCCCAGATGACTGACGAGGTCTGGGAATTTCTTTTCTGTGGTGGTCCTCATCCCAAATCTTCAGATATCCCATCTTCTGTTCTTTATAAGATGAAACAGGAATTTGAATACTGGTACCCATTTGATCTTAGAGTGTCTGGAAAAGACCTTATCCAGAACCATTTGACATTTTCTATATACAACCACACAGCAATCATGTCGAAGGATCACTGGCCTCGTGGATTCAGGTGCAATGGACACATTATGCTCAATTCGGAAAAGATGTCCAAGTCTACTGGAAATTTTAGGACACTGCGCCAGGCAATCGAAGAATTTTCTGCCGATGCTACAAGGCTCTCTCTGGCTGATGCAGGGGATGGTGTAGATGATGCAAACTTTGTGTTTGAGACAGCCAATACTGCAATCTTACGGCTTACAAAAGAGATTGCATGGATGGAAGAGATTCTTGCTGCAGAATCATCGTTGAGGACAGGTCCCCCATCTACCTATACTGATCGAGTGTTTGAAAATGAGATAAACATTGCTGTCAAAATGACTGAGAAGAATTATCAAGATTACATGTTTCGAGAGGCTCTCAAAACTGGCTTTTATGATCTTCAAACTGCAAGGGATGAGTATAGGTTCTCTTGTGGCAGTGGGGGCATGAACCGTGACCTTGTATGGCGTTTTATGGATGTGCAGACCAGGCTTATCACTCCATTCTGCCCTCACTATGCAGAGTTTGTTTGGAGAGAGCTTCTGAAGAAGGATGGCTTTGTGGTAAAAGCGGGATGGCCCACAGCAGACTCTCCAGATCTAAAACTCAAGAAAGCCAACAAGTATTTGCAAGATTCCATTGTGTTGATGAGAAAGTTGCTCAATAAGCAGATTTTGGGCTCAAAGAAACCTAATAAGAAAGGGGCTCCAGTTACAGCACTACCTGAGGACAAGTTAAAGGGCCTAATCTTTGTGAATGAGCAATTTGATGGATGGCAAGCAGAGTGTTTGCAGATTCTTCAAAGCAAATTTGACAGTAATACCAAGACTTTTGCATCCGATGGGGAGATAATGAAAGCATTACAGAAGAGCACTGTTGGCCAGGCAGCAGACTTTAAAAGAACCCAGAAACTATGTATGCCATTCTTGAGGTTTAAGAAGGATGAGGCAATTAAAATTGGTGCCGAAGCCATGGATCTGAAGCTTCCCTTTGGGGAGATTGAGGTCCTGAACGTGAACTTGGACTTGATCAAAAGACAACTTGGTCTGGAAGAGGTAGAAGTACTGTCGTTCACTGACCCTGATGCTGAAGCTAAAGCTGGTTCTCTTGCATCCTTGCTAAGGCAGAATGCTCCTGCACCTGGAAATCCAACTGCCATCTTCTTGCCAAGGTGAAGGAACTTTGTCATTTTAGTATCCAATGTTTAATCTTGAGGAAATGCTTTCGTATTAGACTATGTGGTAATAGACGGTCCAAATTATGGTTTCTTAACTTACAGTTACAGATGTGTTTCTCGGTGTCTAAGTTGTGTTGTTGGATTCTTAATCATGAATTGTCACTTGAATGAAAATGGAGCTTATTGCTGCATGCAGGTAAACAACTGTGTTCCAAAGATGTTGCATCATAAGGCTCTCAAGTAGCACTTTCCTCATAGAAGTTGAAACGATTCCGTGCTATCGGATCAGATAGGTTGTAGTTCCAGTTTGCAAATCATTTTTACTGAATCATGTTCTTTTGAGTCTGAGACTAAGTTTTGTTCTTTTGAGCTTTTTTATCCAGTTTTGATCTTCCTTTTAAATTCCAACATTATTTACCTTGATGTTACAGTGATGGTGATACACCAAGAACAGGTTTAGATTTCAGTTTATTGAATGATAGTTGCTCTTCCTTTACCCCTATCCTTGGATTTGGATAGTATTTTTTTTTTTGCCCTTTTTCCGGTTTTTGGACTTTTCAGGCCTAACTATTCTTATTATTTTTTTATCAAGCGGGTTAAATTGATTTTCTTAAATTTGAAGGATTTATTTAATTTTTTTAAAAAATAAAAATATTTAAATATATATCAACTAGAGTTTTATTTTATTTAGTCAGGGATGAATTGAATGGTGGATGGCTAGTCGTTTTTCTGATTCATCCCTTTAATTTTAAGTTTGACTCTAACATAAAATTACGTGTTTGTCCGTATATTTAGTATTATAATTATATCGTTATGTTTTTACATGTTAATTCTAATGTGAGTTTTATATCGATTGTATTTTGTGAAGGGGAATTTGATATTCCATAAAAATAAAAGTATTGAGGTGACAAAAAGGACCAATAGAGTCCATAAAGAAATTGATAGGATAGGTCAATTTTTTTTTATATTTTTTATTATTACATTTAGGTGAAGTTTACTCTTTTCTATCATGTTATGTTCATTAAAATGTTCTTCTTAATTGTATAATTATTTTTTATTTACTTTTTAATTAGAGGTAAATATAAAAAATAAGATTTATGTAGGATGAACGAGTTTAAATTTATATAAATAAAGGTTAGGTTAAATTCGAGGTAAAATAATACTAATATATATTTTTAATTATTTAGTAATTTAATTTTTATTTTTGATGTCTTTATATATTTTTTTAAAATATTTTTATATTTTAAATTTAAATTATTTTTTTATTAAAAAATCAAATAGACTCTTGAACTTTAGAAAAAACAATCAATTTGGCCCTTCAATTCAAAAAAAAAAATTAATTTAGCTCATCTGTTACGTCATCAACCATTGTGAACTATCATATCAGTATTATAAAATTCCACGTTAGTAGCGTAACGATCAACTACGGAAACTCTTGGTTAAAAGGTCATATTAAGTTTTTTTTTTTAAAATTTAAAGATCATAGCGAGTGAAAAAATAATTCGAAGCCCACATTAATTTTTTTTTTTTTTGTAAAGCACAAGGTCTCTCATATCCTTTTATGAGTAATATATTAAATATTAAATATTAAATATTTTTAGTTAATTCAATTTATTAACGGTTAGTTGAATATTAAAAAATAATCCTTTTCCGAATTAATTTTTGTGGTTGACAGGGACAAAGCCATATAGCCCCTCAATTTTTTATCATTAAAAATATAAGAATGATTATCTATTTAGGTCTTTAAATTTTGATTTATTTTAATTTTGTCCCCTTATTTTCTATTCAAAATGTAAAAGAGATCAATCGGAATTCGACCGTTAAAAACTCCCCATTTTCTTGCCATGAGCATCGGATCCTTTGTGTTTACCAGTTTTCACTTTGAATGTTTCCCGTAAACTGTTCCATATCAATCACACTTTCTCATTATTTTCCGTTTGGTGTCAAAGAAAATTTACTGGATTCCAGAGTCTGTTTTGATCATCCCGGTAAGATTTATGTTCAATCCTATTTACTCTTTGTTGTTGACGTTGATTGATTTTCTTTTTTTAAATTCTTTTAGTGACCATGGATAAGAGGAGGTTACAAACTGAGAGAAGACACAGCACCTCGGCGGCTCCAGGGATGCCGTCATCATCATTGACATCGGCCTCCCCGCTGCAGAGCCACACACGGTCTGGATCAAGCTATGGAGGCGCTGGGAACCCGAGGAAAGCGCAAACGAAAGCTGCAGCGCAGAGGCTGGCGGCCGTTATGTCAAATAAGCAGGACGATGATGATGGTGATGATGATTATGACCAGCTTGATGTTGGAAGGCCAACACGCCCTCCCTCTCCTATGGTAATGTGTTGTTACATGGATATCCGATTCGAGTTTGTGTGTGAGGTTGACATTTTTTTACACTAATTTTGAAATTAAAGTTCCATATCAGTATGAAGTGTTCAAGAAGTATCAGATAAAATACTATTAGGCTATGCCAGGACTTGACATTTGGAAATAAGTACTTATTTCTTACCAGCGGGGTTTTTAACTTGTAATTTGCAGGCTAAAAGGCGAGTTCCGCAGTCAACACAAGCTGATGACGACAATGATGAGGATGATCCTATAGTGAGTGGCAGGCCAAGTATAGGACTTGCTGGTGGAAGACCAATGCAGGGGTGGTCTCCTATGGTAATCATATTGAAATCTTTTAATTCTAATTTCATTCCTTCGGGTAGACCTATGATATGTTTTTTAAAATGACACTTCCATTACTTTGATGATCACTCTTCGACTTCGAGTATTCTGAAATTCTTTTGTTGCTCACATATGCTAGAGTTGTGACAAGTTATGACATTACTAGTATGTATGTTCTCACCTGGGCATGCTTTCTAAAATCCAGGCCAAAAATATTCCTCAAAGGAGACCATCACCATTAAGGAAACAACCATCTGATGATGACAATGATGAGGATGCCCGAGTCAGTAACACAACAAGCATAGGTCTCACTGCAACAGCAAAGAGGTCACCCTCTCCTGTGGTAATCATCTGATATGAATTTGATTTTAGCTAAGACCGGCTGCTTGTGTTTTTCAAGTGAGATGCACAAACTTTTTGATGTAGTTCAACACATTCCATTTGACAAGTTAAAATAACACCTTTTGTTTTTTTTAAATTACCACCATTAACAGTTTTATCAATTTATAACGCATGGTAATGTTTTTCAAACATGCAACTGGTCTGAAATTTGTTAATGGTAGCATATAGCTGGTTTCATATTGCATATAAGTATGTTATTTCCTCAACTTATCTTGTAATATCCAGAGGAAAAGCTTAGCTCGAACTCGAATACCACCAGCAGCAGCTGATGATGAGAATGACGAAGATGACCTTTTAGTGAGTAGCACAGCAAGAATAGGGCTTGGTGGAAGGGCAGCGCGGCCTTTCTCTCCTATGGTAACTTGTGTTCACCTGATTTACTTAGTAGACATGTGTTTGTCAAATGAGCCTCAGAGAAAGAAAATGAATGCAATTAGAGAAGTAATATTGTTAAGCTTAAGCTAATACCTGTTCATGTGTTCTTGAGCACTAGAAATCAGTAGTTGGTTCTTTAAGACATTGGGGATACTCCCTAATGTTTTGCTACTGAATAAAAAAAGAGTAGTTTATTGACATTGTTTGGTGAACATATTGGTCCTATGAGCAAAATTTAACTTCATTTTAATTTGCTTATCAGTGCAAATTTGGTGATAGTGACATGTTTAGAAAAGATAGTTTAATTAGTGAGTTGCAAAGGAATTTTCTGAATAGGGTAATTCGTAGATTTCTGGTTTCAAGTAACCTTACTGGCTTGCTTATCACACGCAAAAGCCTGATGCTACCAACAAATTTGTTCTCAGTGGACTTACAGTGTATAATTTTACAGGCTAAAAACATATCTCAGAAGCGGATGCCGCAAGCTACTGACAAGGAAAGTGATGAGGAAGACTTTTTGGTTAGTGGCAGAGCAAGCATTGGTCTTGCTCGTGGTAGAGGAATGCAGCCGCGCCCTTCTATGGTAATTATGCATTTTCCTGCTATGAATCTGTTAGCTAATTTCTTGTTTGTCATGCTAATGTGAGAGAAGAACTATCTATGATGCCAGAGTAAGGTATCGATCTTACAATTTTGAATGCTGGAGTTTTATGGTACCGATAAATGAATTTTTACATAGGCTTCCATTTGAAAACTCAGGGCAGACCCATGGTCCAAAGGCCAGTACAACAGGTAGGTCCACAACCAAGTGATGAGGACAATGATGAGGATGACCTTTCTAGCAGTTCAATGAGTGGTAAACCAACCATTGGGCTTGGTGGAAGAGCTAAGTCTTCATCTTCTCCTTTGGTAATTTGTCTAATAACTAAGTTTGCTCAGTTGTCTAAATTGTTTGTTCGTTTAATGCTTATATGTCTGATTAATTTAATTCTTACTTGTAACTTCAAATTTGCTTTTAGTCAGTTTGTGTCAATCAAGACCAACCACGTCCCACACCAGCGCATGCAAATGGTCAAAACTCCATGGAGCAATCCACTTCACCTTCAGCTGGACGATCAACTCTGAAAAGTTCTGTAGCTTTAAGTGTTGGCCGACCATCGGCATTAACCAGTTCATCAGAACAACCTGTATCTCCTCGTTCCACGGGTCCAGGTCGCCAACAGTTAGGAGTCAGGCCTTTTCCTGCAGAGAAGCGGTATTTTTATAGCTCTAAGCTGGACTAGAATGGCTATTGCACTGGTTCAGATTCTTAATTTATTTTATCTCTAGTGTTTTAAACTTTACTGCTTAAGCAGATTGGATTCAAATTTCGGGAGTATGAACAACATGAAAGTTAGTGGAACGCAGCAGTCCGCTTCTGCTCTACAAAATGAGGTAAAATCATCAGTTAAGCTATATGTGTTCCCTTCTAGCATCCATCAAGTGGTTCGTTTAGTTTTTCATTTCTAATAAATCATTTGAAACCTGGTGTATAGCTCACAATATTTTCTTTTTCAAAACTCTGTATGATTTTTTTTTCAATTCTGAACACTTTAAATTTCAGTCTGTGTTCTATCCCCAATATGAAAAAATCAGTCTAAGTGATCAAACAATGAAGACCTTTAGGAAAACTATTACTTTTTTTTTAACAATGTGTTGTGAATATCATGGCAGTTTGATATGCTAATGGTTGCAAATGAAAGTTTACTTCAAAAGGTGATTCCAGTAACTCTTTTTCTTTTTTATCATGCAACTTTTTACGTTGTTGAATGTAATGAGATCTTATGATAAGTTGTATTTAAAAGTTGATACTGTACTCATGCACATCAATTTGGCTCTCCATCATCTTCAAGCACTGAGCCAATATTCTAAAGTTGTTGCAACAGTTGTCTTCAAATAACTGGCATAATCTATCTGAGTACTGCCATTTGGATATTGCTATTGCAGCACCATTCCCCCCCCCCCCCCACCCCCCACCCCAAAAAAAAAAACCTCTGATGTCTTTAGGCTAGCCAATCAAGCACTTTGGCTTATTGAAAATTTAATAATAGTCATGCACTATTTGTGTCGTTCTCCATCATGATATTTGCCTTCCCAGCTTCACCTTGCAGAGGAGAGGTGTGAAGAAGCAGAAGCAAGAGCTCAGCTGCTTGAGAAACAGGTGAAGGAAGCAGCCCAGAAGGAGGAGGTTTGTTCTTCTATTGGGTGTCACTAGGAAGTATAAAGAGGCTTATTAACATATAATATTTGCATGTGCATGAAATCTTTAGTATAAATCTTAAAACGAGAATCTGATATGCAAAAATAAATGCCAAGGAAAGATTTTCTTTATTCATTCTTAAGCATCTTCATAAGTGTCATCGGTTTTGTAAACCTAACTAATCAGGCTTTATTGCTTATAACTGGCCTCTTTTCACCCAAAAAAAAAAACTAATGAGCTGATTTTATTGCGTTACTTTTACATGGTTTATGAACTGCAGCTGAGTAGCATGTGACATGGTCCTTCTTGCAGGCTGCTTCAAAAGGTGGAACACAAACTCAGTTGATTGCTGCTCTTCATACAGAAGCTAAGGTATCTTGAGATCCTATGTTATATGTTCTTGGTTTATCTCTTTCAAATGTTACCATTCTCACAAAGGGAACATATCCGTTCTTAACATAATTCTTTCTCTTAAATTGTGGCCTAGATAGCAAGAGATGAAACAAATTCCGTCTTAGAGAAGCTCAATGCAGCAGACTTTGAAATCAAAGCACTGAAAACAGTATCTCAAAGGATGATGCTGACTGAGGAAGAGATGGTTGGCTTTATTCTTAATCTTTTAGACATCATCCTGTCAATTTACTCCTTTATGCCATTTTTACGTAATCTGCAGTTTTCATCTTAGGAAGAGGTTGTTTTAAAGAGATGCTGGCTTGCTCGTTATTGGAGTTTATGTGTGGAACATGGTAAAGTGATGATCTTTCAATACATGAAGTTCCTAAATGTTTTTGAATTGGTGCTTCTGTATTGGATAAAAAGCTGCTTATAAGTAATCACTATAAAAGTTACAATGCTGCAGTTCATTGTAATGGACGAGTAATCCTTGGAGTAATTCAAGTTGACACAGTTTCTATAATGTGCAAATCTGTTACTGTGTCCTTTACATTTTGCATGGAGCTGCTTAGATTCCTTGAGGACATCACTTTTTGCAGGTATTCAGGCCGATATAGCCGGAGTGAAATATGAATATTGGTCATCATTTGCACCTCTTCCTTTTGAAATAGTATTAGCTGCTGGACAAAGAGCCAGAGAGGAGGATATGTCATGTAAGAGATTTCATTTGATATGCATGCTTGCTTCATCCACTTCCTAACACATTCCGTCTGACTTTTGATAGGATTAGAAAATGAAGCTTTAAATTATATTTTCCTTCTTAGAGCCTCACATTCAGTTTTTACTCTCTCTCAATAGAGAGAAAACTAAATGTCTCCTTTTTTTTCTTTCCTTATCTCTATACTGAACAGCCAGCAACGATTTAGAAGAAAGACAGAAGATCCTGAAATACACTAATGAACTATCCGGGGAGAGAAATGTTGAGAGCATGCTTTTAGTGGAGAAAGGTCTAAGGGAACTGGCTTTATTAAAGGTTTGTTTTCTTCTTTCATTTGCTTGTGTTTGCAGCTGTCATACCATCTTTATTCTCACTTACTATCATAGAATTATGATGCAGAATCTCATATTATCGCCCTTTCCCCTTCTTATAACACATTAAATGGTCCGTTTGTTTGTATATTTAAAGAATATTTTCCCTTCCATTTCTTTTAATCTTTTCTAAAGGTAGAGGATGCGGTTACATTCGCATTGGCTAAACAACGACGCCCAAATATGCTAAAAAATGGTATTTTTTCCCCTTTCCTTTTCGAACATATATAACATCTATTGATAGTGGGAAAATCTTCTGCTGTTCTGTTGGCATTGTCAATGCAAAAGCTTTACATGAATGGCATGGTTTTAAGATCCAGAAGATCTATTGATCTCCTGACATTTTTTTTTCCTTCCATTTACATGATTGTAGAGGAGGTGAAACTGCCTACCGATGGTCAATTCGAGATATTCGGTAAGTTAGTCAACCATTTTGTTCGTTTAAGCTCACTATTGCTGTATTCTGTTTACTCCCATTGATAGTTTTTTTCCCTTCAGAATTGAGCCAAGAGGAGTCTGATGACGTGCATTTTAAGCAGGTACCAAATTTCACTGCTAAGAAAAACATTTGCGTCTTAAGGGTCAAATATAATGTAAGAAAGATGATTATGTCATTATGGCTCCAAGCTAATCTTTGTTTTCTCCTGTATCTTATGTTCATCGTGTGTAATTTGAAAGTGATTAGTTGCAGAAATCTTCAGCTAATCATCTCCTTAGTAGTATGGTTATGGTCTAGGCTAAAGGCAGGTTTTCTTTTGTATTTTAAAAATGTAAAATAACTTTGATGTTGATGAAACTTATACATATAGCATAAGGAAACAGTACCAAGGCCTCAAAATTCTGCCATTCGTCCTGCTTGATCGAGTTATTTGTTCTGCAACTTGTTGCTGCCTTACTTTTTGACTTGTGGGAAATGCATTAAGACTTCACAACTTTTACGAAATGATTGGCAATGTTAAGCATAATTGAATGTGTATATTTCCCTAGAAAGCATCATTTCAAGAATCTTCATTTAGCTGTTTCTTATTCCTTACACATTTTTCATGCAGGCTTGGCTAACATATTTCTGGAGGAGGGCAATGACCCATGGTGTGGAACCTGATATTGCAGAAGAACGTTTGCAGTCGTTGATCACCTGCAGTTCAGAACCGTGCACTTCGCAGGATGCAGTCGATGGTACTTGCCCTCTGTTCCTCTCCCTTTCTTAACCTGGAGACTTTACTAACCATAACCGTTTCACTTTACTACCGTGGGTATACATCTCCTAGATCAGGGTAACAAAGACCAGTTAAGCAGTGAAGCTACATATAAACATATGACATGCTAAATTATGAAGTAATGTTATGTCTGGTTAAAGTATGTTGATTGTTTTTACTGGATGCAGTTGAGCGTGGGCTTATTGAGATTAGGAGGTTAGGGCTGGAGTCCCAGTTATGGAAGACGTCTCGGCGAGGGCTCGAGCTAGGCGCCACTGCCCGGTTGCATACTGAGACAGATTTCTAATACAAAGTGTACTCAAGAATATTATCCATTTTTCTTATTTATTTATTTGTTAGGCTACATGTTTTTGTTTAGGATCTTACATTATTTTGATTTTATAGTTTTTCTTGAAAATATAAGTTTAATTAAAAAAAATAAGGGTATAAATTATATTCTTTTTATTTTTTGTCTAATTTTTTTATTAACATGGCTAACATTATGTTTTATTATAATTTTAAGATCAAGTTAATATCCATCATAAAAAATTATCATTAACATGTGATCTTCTTTTAAATTTCTTTTAATTAAAAAAATTCCATAATTCTTTTTTTAAAATATTAAAATCTTTAATCCTCTTAAATCTCATATCTTGTCGTCAAATCAACCACCATTATCTATCCTTTTTGTCACCGGACTCTATTATTTCTTTCTTTTTTTCCAAATTAAAATTAATCGAGTAATCATCAATCCGAAGAATAAAAAAGTTTAAACTGAAATTTCAAAATAATGAGGGATGCAACACAAGGACTTCCCAGGAGGTCACTCATCCTAGTACTACTTTCGCCCAAACACGTTTAATTGTGGAGTTCTAATAGGATCCGATGCATTAATGCTAGTACAATCGCCTAGGAGGTCTCCTATCCTAGTACTACTCTCGTCCAAGAATAACATATGTTCAGATTGAGTGAGTGTAATTAAAATTGAGTTTTATGTATATATTTATGTTATGTGGAGATAATATTCTGCACGGCAATAAATTATGTGTTTCGGCTTAATTTTAGCATTTGGTTAGCAATCAAGTTATTAAGGTATATTTTTTGTATGTTTTTTCAGTGTATAATATATGATCATCTTAGTGATTGATACGAGAACATGATAAATTTTCATATTTGAATACGAAATTTTCATGTGTTATGGTTTTTTTTTAATTAAACTGAGATGATTATAAGGTAGTATATTTTCTGAAGATTATAAATCATTTAACAATAAAATCTCAAACACATCTGTAGAGGCAAGTGCTCGAACCCGGAATCTGTAGGGGCAATAGTAATCTTTTTAGCCGTTAAGATAATTTGGTTCGTGTTGTATTATGTTTTTCTAACTTAATAGTTATGATGAAACAAATATTGTAAAGTATGGTAGCATGTATATTCCAATGTTGTATTTAGTATTTGGTATTTTGTGATCATGTTAGTATTGTTAATACGTCTTTAAGTTACGTTGTAAATGTCAATGTTAATGTTATCCTGAGTTTGGAATAGGTAAGTTGTATTGATTTGATTATTAGGTTTGTATGTATATATGACTATGTTGTGTAGGCGAAGTACTCTTAGTTGATAAGCTATGTATGCTATAGTTAATTGTGGTAATCATGTATGACAACGACTATGCACTTACTGAAATTAAGGGAAAAAAAGTGAAGGCTTAGATGTTTTTGTTGCATGTTAAAATGGTAATATGTACTTACATAAAGGACACTAAAATATAGAATTGTAACTGAATTTGATTGAAATTTGATTTTTTTTATATTTTTATAAAGGTTGTACAAGATTTTTAGATGAATTGAGGAAGATTCAAGTTATATTAGTGGAAATGAATTGTTGATGTTACTTGAGGTCTCGGGTTCGAGTATCATAAATGACAGGAGTCTGAATGTTCAATGTCAGAGGTCTGAATATTCAATTTCAAATGGTTAAGAGTTATCTTTGAACAAATATTACCTTATACTTACCTAGATTAATAAAAAAAAATGAATTAGTTCATAATTTTGAAAGATATAGGTTTAATAATATGTGTAATCAATCAAAAGGAATGTTTTAAGTGGTCCTTGAAATTTCTAACGAGTACAATTTAATCCTTAAAATGTATGAAATTGTAATTTAGACTCCTTTGATATTTTGTATATGCAATTTCTTTCTCCATCGCAATGACTCATTCATGTCATGGATTACTTTTAACATTTATCAAACATATCATTCTAATATTATGATATTTATATGCAGTTCTTTTCCCTAACCCTGAACACTAATCAGATGGTAACGAGTAATGAGATAATCAATGCATCATGCCATGTTTGTTGGTTAACATTTGTAATTAACTTTCTAAGTTAATATTCCACCATAATTTTCAAAAGACAAAGTTCTTGTCATCGAATCTCTAGCAAAAAACGATCACGCACGCTTTTGCCAAGAAAAATAATCTGTAATAGGCTTTTGCTTTGTAGATTTCTTACGAGGATGACTGGCGTTTGCTTTTGAATTCAGACCACAATTTTCCCGACCAACGGCATCTGCGGTTTCGGTCTCACGACTTTCATCGGATACCTCTACTGTCTTCCTCCCCCTCTTCTTGTCATTTCCCGAAGTTCCCGACTCTTTCGGCTCCGATGCCTTAGGCATAGGCATGTCACCACCTTTCTTTTCGTCTCTCGTGTTTGGAAAACCATCTACGTTCTGTTTTGCTGTAAAATCCTCGTAATCCTTCGGTGCAACTCCACGCCGAAACTGGACACCACTGTTACATGGTCCTTGAGGACCTAAGTCAAAGGCAATGAATTGAAACCCACAAGTCGGACAAAGTAACAATTTGTTGATAAAATCTTTATAGTACTGGTACTTGATGCCACAAGCACTGCAGAGTGTCCAAAATGTTTGATGTTGTGCCTGCTGATAGGCATGCGAAGCAGTGAACTTTGAAGAACCATTTTGATCACTATTTGTGAACTCATGCTGACCATTGACAGAGGCCTTCTTCGATGGGCGAGAAGATGCCTTCTTCGATGCACAAGAAGCCGGCTTTCGTGTAGTTTTGACCAAGATTCTACACTTCAAATCATATTGAGAACGTTTCGTTTGGTCTGAGAGAATCGTGTTTGCCTCCCCGATCAGCTTGAATGCAGCCTCGGCACCGGAAAACTTATTCTTGTCTGGATGAAGCAGTAGCGCAAGCCTTCTGTACTGCTTCTTGATTGAAGCCTCATCGGCCGATTGTTCAATCTGAAGAACCCCGTACCAGTCCATTTCCGACCCGGAGAGCTTGTTTTTTGCAGAATAGTGAACATTACAGACCATCAACAACTGTAAGATGTTCTCGAGCTCAGGGAACAATTTCTGAGCCTTTAATGCAAACTTCTTAGCGCCCTCAAGATCACCATCCTGCATCTTTTGTTCAGCAATTCCCCTTGCTTTGACAGCCTCTTCTCTGTTACACTCCATTGTCGATAGCACCCGAAGATTAAACGCTCAAATTTTCCAACACTATCATCAAAAACCTTCCTGCAACAGTGCAACCAAACCATTGTAGTCCAATATATCCACCAAATCCACCTAATACCTAAAACAGTAATTCGAAAAACACACAAAACACCTACCATTATAGCAATAACCACCATATATTTGCAAGACTGGATAAAATAGAAACACAAGGACCAGCCTATTGGTACCAAACAATTCCTAGTAAGTAAAATCCGAATGCTACTTGAAGCGAGGAATCCAAATTTCAAAGCCTGAAACATGATAAAAAGATGACATAGGCCATAAATAAATAAAATTACCCAGACCGCAACCATGTCAACCAAAAAAATGGATCAAGTATTGAAAAATACAATCTTTAAAATAACAAGGAATCAAATATTTTTTTTAAAACGACTCATAACCATTAGAATCAACAAGTCAACTTAATAGTTTTAAGGATCAGAGAAAAGAGAACCTAAGTATTAGTATTATTATTATTATCCGTGCCTATTTCTCAGGACCCAATAGCAACCGTAACTCCATTAACCAATTAAGCACACACAAAGAGAAAAAACATGTAACCCTCGAATTAACAAACAAAATAACGAAAGATAACCCAGAAAATTTCTTAAAATTTAATCGATAAAAAAAACCAAACCCGTATTGAAAGATGGAAGCTTTTACCAAGGACAAGAACATACCCACAAAAACAAAAATGCAGGAAACATTGAAAATCACTAAAAAAAACAAAGGTCGGAATCAGATGTTACAAAAAAGAAACGAAAATAAATCTGACCTTTTAATTAGTACCACTAACTAAGAAGCCAACAAGATGTGAGTGATAGAAGGAACCAAAATAAAACGGGAAAGAGAGGGAAATATTTTGGGTTAGGAGGGAAGATTGAGCGAAAGGAGCCCTTGCCGCTCTTTTCTCTCTCTCTAGAGAATGAGTTTAAGTTAGAGATGGTAACGACCCGGGTTCGATCGAATTTTGATTAATCTGATTCGACTTAAAAATATATACTTTTCATTCTATTTGATTTAAAGAGTATATTTTCTCTATTCAAACTTGATTTAATTTGAATTATTAGAGTATAAACTCGATTAAAATAAAATAAAGGTCTAACTAAAAAAAAGACAGGTTATTATAATAATCATCTATAAATTTATATATGAAAATTACACTAATATCCTCGAGTTGTATTAAGTTGGATTTCGAAAGTTTCTCACCCTCCATTTGAACTCAGTTCAGTCTAACCTCATTTTATATAAAACCTAACCTAAATCTAAAATTTAAAAGAAAATTTGATTTTATCAGATTGGATTGGATTGAAATTTATCGATTTTAGGTAAATTGTCACCCTAATAACAGTTTCTATGCAAAACATCTTTTAATAAAAAAAAGTTAATCCTTTTGTTTTAAAATTTTGTATGTATTTTTAATTATTTAAGGATTCAATTGATTAAAATTATAAATATGTGTGGCAAAATATTTTTTTATCTTTTTAAATAATTATCACATCAACGGTCAATGGAAACATAGATGGACGAATTTGTTCTGTTTGAAATATATAGGGAGTAGTCTGCCTATTTTTTTCAATAAAGTAAATAAAATGAAATTAGTATATCGTAGAAGGACTATTATGATACTTTTACCGAAGAAATTCCTAGGATATTTTTCATTTTACCTGTGGATAAATTACTTACTTAATCAAAAACCTTTTAGTGTGTTTCTATTTTTATCACTGCTTATTCATAAAAAATTAATTTGATTACTATGCTAATTCTTTT